CAACTCTGAGCAATTAAACCCCTGAATTTCCCTAGCTCATTGCCCTGTCGTGGTTTCTGTTCCTGGTTCCCAGGAGTGCGCTTTCTTGTCCTTGTTATTGATATTCCCGGTATTCTGACTTTGGCTATTCTTGACTATTCTGATCTCTGGTTTCCCTGACTTAGCTTTCTTATCGATCTTGTGTATTTCTGGCTTCCTTGACCTCGACATTCCCTTGATCATTCTCTGTCTTTCAACATATTAATCCGTCCATTCTAAGGACCAGTTTACATTTTCTATTCTATGTAGATGTTACATAGTTTTGCGTGTTGGATCACATTAGTCCTCGTGACAGTTTTATATTTGTAAGAATAAAGGTATTTTGGCTTATATTACACTTTACAGAGTGTGCCATCTTACTCTTTTTTTCCTACATTTTATTATTACTGCTATTTTTATTATTTCTACTTCATTCTGCCTTGTACCTGATTTGTACCTCCAGTGAGTACTCCTCTCAAGACATCCTTGGTGGGGATTATACCACCTATGTCCTTTCCATAGAGCAATTTGCCTGCTCTGGTAAATGTGAGTATGTTCTTCATTTATTTTTAAACTCCTGGTATTTTATACAGTGAGCACTATTGTTGTTTTTAAAAAAAATATTTTATGGTCCTTATACTACAAAGACACTACCATCACATATCCTTGCAAGTGGTGGATTGTAACACTGTATGCATGCCATTCATAGTGGAGCTAGTTACAGCTCCATAAAACGTGAGTAGGACTGTACCTAATTCCTTTTAGTTGTTCCCTGTTAGAACATACTACCCTAGTATTCCTTTTCTGTTGTTTCATATGGATTCCACTGCTGAATTTACCCTGATACTCCCACTGAGTATTTACGCAGACACTTTGTGGACAAGCACTTTTGGCAAGTGTATTTTCACACTGTGACGGACCGCCTGGCACCCCGACCCGGTGCCTCCGCCAACCGATGCTGCTAGTGCTTACCGAGGACTCCAAGCACTCCACCAGACACCATCAGCACTGTAGTCCCCACATCCAGCGTTACAGCTTGGCTAGGAACTCGCTGTCCTCCACCCACCCTGGATCTAAGACCAGGATCCAGCTTCCAGTGGGTGAACCAATCCTACTTCAGAGTGCATATAAAGAGCTAGTGATTATAATCCCAGGGGAGTATAGAGATATAGCAATTCCCAGGGTAGATACAGCCGTTTCCTCCACACATGAGATTAGACTCTATGTTGAGGGTAAGCAGGAACTCAATTTTAATGGTGCCACACTAGCCTTTTATACAAGTACCCAAGCAATGTGTACGCCCACATGGACTTTGTTGGGGACAGGGACACAAACTTAACCCCTGAAGGACCAAACTTATGGAATAAAAGGGAATCATGACATGTCACACATGTCATGTGTCCTTAAGGGGTTAAAGGACCACTATAGTGCCAGGAAAACATACTTGTTTTCCTGGCACTATAGTGCCCTGAGGGTGCCCCCACCCTCAGGGACCCCCTCCCGCCCGGCTCTGGAAGGGGGTAAAAACTTACCTCTTCTCCTCCCCGTTGGCTGAATGCGCACGCGTGGCAAGAGCTGCGCGCGCATTCAGCCGGTCACATAGGAAAGCATTCATAATGCTTTCCTATGGACGCTGGCGTGCTCTCACTGTGAAAATCACAGTGAGAAGCACGCAAGCGCCTCTAGCGGCTGTCAATGAGACAGCCGCTAGAGGAAATAGGGGAAGGCTTAACCCATTCATAAATATAGCAGTTTCTCTGAAACTGCTATGTTTATGAAAAAATGGGTTAACCCTAGTTGGACCAGGCACCCAGACCACTTCATTAAGCTGAAGTGGTCTGGGTGCCTAGAGTGGTCCTTTAACAACCAATAGCAACAAGGTTACAAAATGTAACACTCCCAATACAAACATGCAATCCCTCCTCTCTGTCTGGGAGAAAATTTAGGCAAATACTGCATTAACCCAATGATCTCCAGGCAGAATAAACACATATTTTACAAAACCCAAAAAGTACCCCAAAAACACAAAATACCCACAATTATTACATCCCCTGATAGTCCTGATCTGGGTGACCAACATAACCAAAAATCACCCAGATCAGTTCAGGGGTTCAGGAATTCTGAACTCTTGGAGATACCAACAGCTCATACAGGTACACACATTAAAACATATTACATATATGGGGGAACACTTAGGGGCTCTGTGGAGTTACACATATAAATTACTAGATTAATATATTACTAGATAGCCCTGGTCCATCTGGGATTCCTGTAAATAGCGGGGCAATTGGATGTACAGAGCCCAAGAAATCATTGTCTAAATCTGGGGCTCGAGGCTCTGTACATCCCCGAAATTAGTTCCATGGAGTTAATTGGTTTAGTCCGGTGGGATTCACGTCAATCAGCGCTCAGGGACGAGAGGGATTTCACCGCCCAATCAGAAGAAAGGGCGCAAAACCCGGTTGCAACAATCGGCGCTCGAGGAGGAGATGGATTTGGCAGCACCAATCAGGAGAAAGGGTGCGAAACCTCGTTTGAATGGGCACTCCTTCTCTGATTGGTTTTCTGCACCCAGCAGTGACCAATCAGAACTCACTTGTCAGTGGTGTATTTAGGATTTAGGCTGCCCTAGGATTTTCCCCACCTCTTCCTGTCAAGGCTGCACTTTGACAGATGCTCACTCAGGGGCGGGCTGGGCCAGGGGTCATGGAGGCAATTGCCCCCCAGGCCGCCTCAAATCATTTTAAAACTGGCCGCTGCAGGGCCGGTCCTAATGCTGCAGCTGCCTGAACGCACTGTTAAGAGCCTCTGGCGGCTGCAGCACAGCTTTTCCCCTCCCCTACCCTTCCCTATAGTGTGGCTGAGCTCATCTCCGGTCCGCGGTGCCCGGCCAGAGTGATAGTAAGGTGCACACTCAGTCACTCAGTGTGCACTTCCTGTAAGACTGGCCAGTTACAGGAAACTGAAACTCTGCGCGGAACAGGAGTTTCTGTTCCCTGTAACCGGCTGGACTGACAGGAAGTGCACACTGAGTGTGCACCTTCCTATCACTCCGGCCAGGCACCGCGGGCCGGAGAGGAGCTCGGCCACGCTACAAGGAAGGGGAGGGGAGATTAAGAAGAACGGGGGTGGGGGGGATTAAGAAGAACAGGGGGATTAAAATGAACAGAGGGATTAAGAAGAACAGGGGTGGGGGTGGGGGATTAAAAAGAACAGTGGGGTGGGGATTAAGAAGAACAGGGGAGGGGGATTAATAAAACAGGGGGTTGGGGATTAATAAAAAAGGGGTTGGGGGATTAAGAAGAACAGGGGTGAGGGGATTAAGAAAAACAGGGGGGAGATTAAAAAGAACGGGGGTAGGGGATTAAGAAGAATGGGTGAGGGGATTAAGAAGAACAGGGGGTGGGGGATTAAGAAGAACAGGGGGATTGGGGGGATTATGAAGAATGGGGGAGGGGATTAAGAAGAACATAGAGGGGAGATTAAGAAGAACAGGGGGGAATTAAGAAGAACAGGGGAGGGGGGATTAAGAAGAACATGGGGGATTAAGAAGAACAGGGGGGAGTAAGGAGAACACAGGTAGGGGGGAGTAAGAAGAACACAGAATGGAGTGGGGGAGAGTAAGGGAGGAGGGGGAGATGAGGAGAACATAGGGAGAAGAACACAGGTAGGGGGTGTAACGGTACCCTCAGCATCAAATAGTCAAAACCGCCATTTAGTTAATCCTCCCCGCTCGCAGTACTGTAAACTCCAGTACTGTAAACGAATCGCTGCTAACAGCCGAATCAATATATCATCCAAGCGGCTTACGGTTCCAGCAATCAGTCGCTATTCGTGTGTAGTAAATCCCCCCAATAATGAGACCAAGCTCCGCATTGAGGGTAAAACAAGAACTGGGTTTACTGTGGACTACCCGCCCGTATTTATGCAGGTCTCCCACGTGGTGGACACTCCCCTAGGGGACCAAATGGGAGACTGTAATGGCAGATGGACATACAGCATTTCAGGACACACAGGCACATAATATTCCCAGCATGCATCATGGTTTCCTCCCCTCTGCCCTGGAGATAATTGAGAAGTAATTCAATTATCTCCCAGGACAGAGGCAAATCGCCATTTTAGATGGAACATAAAAACCACATAAAAATACATAATTATACAACTACCGAATATATTCCATTTGTGCAGCGTATCCCCAGATAGCCTGGATCTGAGTGCATATTCTTAGCGAATAGCGCTCAGATCCCATACGCACAGTTCAATCGCCATGGAGTCAAAGTCTTTTACAGTCTTTCGGTATGCAATTGACTCCATGGGAAGGCTATCTGGGTTAAGTCCATTCGTGTAGTCCAAACTCCCGAACGGCCGGTGTTCGTATGCTTTTGTCGACTGAGAAGGGCGGTCTGTGGTTTTAGCGGTGTTCGGCAGAAAAAAGTGTCCGTTTTTAGTGACAGCCGAACACCGCTGGTCCTTCGCACGGTTTAAAATGGCCACCGCCTCATGGTCGACATACGAACGACGACCACCCTGTATTCGATTATAATTGAGAGGTGTCTGCGGTTAACCACAACGTTCTAATTAGGATCAAGAGGTTAACCAGCAGCACACTTCTCTTCTGGGTGGCCGTCCGTTCGGTAAGTTCATTTGGTAAAAACGTCAAATAAACGAACAGGGGCATACGGACAGGTAACTCCACGAAAAGAGGCAAAACAGACGAACCAGCAATCTTAGTGAGGGGGGAGTGAGAAGAACACAGGGAGGGTGGGGGTGAGGAGAACACGGGGGGAGTGAGGAGAACACATGGGGGAGTGAAGAGCAGTGGTGTATCCTGGGCAGGACAAAACTCAGGCGCCCCCCTCCCCCCGTGCCA